TCCAACTGCGAGGATATCTTCTGCCAACTAGAGGCATCGCTTCAAATCCACCACATGAACGGAGGTGCCGAAAGGGATGCGAACGTAACGTTTTGCAAAAGTGCCCCGCATCACATTGGCACCGCATTAAGAGACACGACTAGCTCGTTACGTATATTCAAAAAGCTGTAGAAAAAAAAAAGGTGAATCTGCGAGGTTGAGCCGCGAATAAGATGCACCGACGGGACTCTGAAGATACTTGACCTTGTCGCGAAACAGGATGAGCGGGTAATTGTCGTGGATGTTGCCGTCAGCTGGGAGGGTATGAACCTCTAAGTACAGCTACCGCTAATAAAAGGGCGCTTGCATGGCACCTTTAATCGTGGGAGCTCGCGGAACATGGTGTCAGTCGAATTCTCGTATTATGAGAATTTTAAACCTTTCAAGGTTCGACGTCCGCATCTTCATCACTAAGGCCATTCAGGGTATCATCCACATTCATAGTCATTTTATGAGGTCCTTACAGAAATAACTTATGAGAATTTTATTTCGAGTATTTATATCGGCTTCTTCCTATCGTGGGATCTACGTTCGTCTAGGTTAGGATTTTATCTTATTGACCTACGTAGATGTTGTGTTTGCCTTTTCATGTATTGTGAATGTCCCATTTTACTTTTTTTAAAAATCTGTTTTTAATCTTTTATATATATTTAGATAACTACTTTTTAAGTTATCATTTTTCTAATTTTTCTAAGCCCGCGATTGGCGTTTGGCGACATTAGTAACTGCAGGGGAGGCTGGTCGGATTCTCGTATCGATTATAATACAGGCCAAACATCAGGCCATAAAGGGCCATACGCTGCTGATTTGTTACTTTCCGGATCGAAACGGGGAACAGACCAGCAGGATGTCGGTTTTCGGATGGCGGGGGTTTTCGGATGCCGGTTAATCACCCGGCCTACAAACTAAAAGAGGTTATGGCTCTCCTCTGATACAACGTTTTTAACCGAATCCTCGGAAGAATTGATGAAGTTTATAGAGGGAGTAGAACGAGTAAGTTTTAAAGCAGGGATGCTGTCCATCAATAAATCAAAAAGAAAAATTTTGATCATAGATAGAAGAACTAATAACAAGCCAGACATTTTCAGAATCAATGACATCGAAGTGGAGAAGTAATTTGTATATTTGAGCACCCTCATAACCAACTATTAAGGTTGCACCCAAGAAACCAAAAGAAGGTCAGCAATGACCAAGGGAGTAAAGACAAAGGTCACCAAAATATGGAAAAGTCACAATATCACCATACATACAATGTTTCTAAAAATAATGGTCTAAATAATTTCTATATTTTTATATGGGTCTGAATCCTGGTGCTTGAAGGAAGTTGATAAACCCACAATAGACGCGTTCGAAATGTTTAAATGGCGAACAATGTTGCGAATATCCTGTACCGCAAGAGGAACAAACGCATCGACCTTAAAAGACTAAGGATAAAAATGCTCCGAAACATTTCTACCGAAAAAATTACCGCTTACTTTGGTTATATAGTGTTTAGAGACGGTTTAGGGAAACTGACTTTGCAGGGAATGGCACAAAGACCGAGACCCGGGGAAAACAACAAGATATATGGACCAGATTCCAAAAGAAGTGGGAGCCCAACTAAACCATTGCTTCAGAGTTGCATAAGACAGAAAAATATGAAAACAACTCACAAAAGATGATTTGAGAATTGTACGTGATACCATGTCCGAGGCGAATGACAGACTAGAAAGCACAGAAAGTAGTTTGTTATTTGGAAACTTCCAGTGACCAATACAAAAAACCGATTTTCGAAAACGAAAATCCGTTTTTTTAATGGACTAACGAACATAATTACTTTTTATATCCAACGTATGCCGCATTTCTACTGATCTATATGCGAATCAACTCGGCTCTCTTTAAATTAGTGTTTGTTTCTCTCTCTCTCAAAATTAAGTAAAATATACATACAGTAGTAGTTCAATTTGGCATAACTTTTTAGGAAGCGTCTGATTTGCTTTTCGTGCATAGTTATGTTCCGGTATCGCTAAGCGACTTCGGCTAAAATTCATTCATATAACATGCAATGGTTCTTTACTTGTCTTAAGTAATGGGTACATAGTTGTATACCTAAAATGCTAGTCATCAGCTAAGTATGCGAGGGTGGGTTGATATAAAACTAGCTTATGATAAAAAAAGTTTTTTTTAATTAAATCTATTTATTTCTCAATATAGTCCCCTTTTAGCTCGATACACTTAGTAACATGATGTTGCAATTTTTTTATCCCATCCGAATAGTACCTTTGCTCGAGCTCTTCAAAATAGGCCAAAGTTTTAGCGACGACTTCATCATTTGTTGCGAAATGGCGTCATCCGAGCCATTTTTTAGGTTTGGAATAATGAAAAAATCGATGGCGGCAATATCTGGGGAATACAGTGAGTGTTCAGCCAATTCATAGCCCCATTCGTGTAATTTTGCCATGGCGACAGCCAATCGGCGAGTCTTGCATTGTCTTGGTGAAACAGCACTTTTTTGCGTTCCAAACCGGGGCGTTTTCGACGCAATTCGGCATCGAATCGATCCAGTAATGCTGCGTAGTACTCACCATTGATTGTTTTTCCTTTTTCCAAATAGTCGATGTGGATGATGCCTTTCGCATCCCAGAAAACAGTCGCCATCACTTTGCCGGTCGAATGTGCACTCTTTGCCTTCTTCGACGGCCCTTCGCCGCGTTTGCGCCACAGTTTCGACTGTTCTTTGGTTTCCGGTGTGTAATAATGCACCCAGGTTTCATCAACGGTGATAAATCGACGAAAAAATCCTTCGTATCGCGCCGTATCATCGCCAAAAGCGTCTCCGAACTGGTCATACGTTTTTGCATTTGATCGATTGTCAGCAAACGCGGTACCAATCGTACGGATAGCTTTTTCATGTCCAAATGATGGTGAATGATGTTATGTACGCTTTCGTAGGAAATGTTTAGGACCTCTATTAACTCGAGGAGCTTAATTCGACGATCTGCCATAATCATGTCATGGCGTGGTGACTTCATTTATCCTCCCAGAACGCTCATTCAGCTTTCCAAAATTTTACTGTTGCTAACGAAGGTGCAACCTCACCATAAACTTTGTCCAGGTCGGCTTTAATTTGCACATTCGTTTTACCCTTTTTGTGGAGGAACTTAATCACATTTCTCCCAAAACACAAAATTTGCTTGCTTTTGATGGCTGTAAAAAGCAAACTAATTGTTTTTAAAACTTAAAATTTGGACAGATGTCATGTCATGAATGGCAAATGTCAACACCGAAACCAATTCGGTATCGCGTAGCGCCATCTATCAAAAGCTAGTTTAATATCAATCTATCCTCGTAAGTACGACGGAAAAAATTTTAGGGTCGCTGCCGCGTTCTATTTTGGTTCCAACAAATAATCGTTTTAATGTACCGAATGTTTCGGGGACGCATAAAAGAAGTGAAAAAGAAGAAGTAAAGCTCCAAGATGATCTGATGATATGCCGCCCCGTTTCCTTCATTGCTTTCATTGGTGTGGTACTCCCATGAATTCCAGATGAAGTTAGATTTGCAAAGAAGTGAATCTAAGAAATTATTAGCGCTTTCTGTCTAAATTAAGAGGGATATTTTTCCTTCTCTAAGATGTATCAGTCCATTATAACTATTTATATTAGCAGCATACAACAAATATTTATAAATAATCAATTTGTTCAACTCATCTCTAAAATCTTCTGGTATTGCTATTGATATAAATATAAATACAAACATAGAGAACCTTTGACAGTTGTCCTGATCAATCCTAGCACACTTACCTAATAGCCTTTGCAAGAGGGGTATAAAATAAACAAAAATATTCCACAAACCATTGCAAGTGATTAAGCGAAATGGTAATATACTACAGATGATTGTTTTATTCCCCGTTTGAATTCAAGGCGTGTACTACAATTTTATAATATAAAATAAAAACTTACCAAAAGGAGGAAGTACTGTAAAAATATTGATATGTTAATAGCTTTTAACTTAAAAAAGGCTCCACTAAACAGTGAGCGGATTGAAGCACTGGTGGGGCGTCAGAGGTACAAGACCCGCTCGCGAGGTGTGAGCGTGGCGTGAGTTCTAAGTGCATTCCACACTCTTCTTTCTCAATGTAACCCAAACACTATTAGTCAATTTAATTCCAAGGCTTAATAAGGCCTTCATTTTGCTGTAATAAGTTATAATGAAAAGATCACAGATTATTTTATAGCTTTTTCATATACTTCCAGACAAGTTCATTCCATTTTTTAGGTTTTTTTCGTAGTACTTCTTTCCAATCAACATTATGTTTGTTATTTTCATTTGCGGATATATCTATGTGCTTTAAACATATCTCTAACATTAAATATATATTTTTAGTTCTTATATTTTCTCTCATCTCTAAAAAAGGACTATGTCAAATGGTTTTTTCAGTATCAATGTGTTTGATAACTGTATTGAAAATTCTGTTTTTTGACCCATAAATATAATATAAACATTAATAAATATTTCGTCTTCAGTAATGGTTATCCCAAGTTTTATGTATTCCAATCAGATTATGGTAAAATCAATACACAGTAAAACATTGTTTACAGTTAGCATAACAAGTTCAGACTTAATGACTTTTGCAGTTCACCTACTCCACAAGTAGAATCACGTTATTCTCACGCCAAGCGCAACAATGACTTGATTTACTTATATAACCATTTCACTATAATTCAATACATTACAACATGCATAATGTATTGTAATATTAATAAAATCTAATACCTCATCCATACCACGACCCACTCACTATATACCGGAGACTTTATAGAAATAGTGTTTTTATCAGTTCTATACCTAAATATATGAAAAATAAAAATGATATTAATATAATACACCAAATAATATTGATATGCTTATAAGATTGATATACGAAAAAGGGGAGTCGATAAACTATAGTTGGTATATTACATATTGATTTCTCTACTTACAGTCGACATTGATCGATCTTGTTTTCTTGACTGCGCCTCTCACGGACATTTTTCGCATTAAATGTTTATTTTTTGGACCAACTCTGGATACTGTTAGTAAGGAGTATTTGTGAGATAACGTTTTGACGGCATGTTCTTCCATATATTGTTGAACTTGTGGGTTTAATTCTGAAAATAAAAATATTACCTTATTATACTTAATACAATGCTATAATTACAAAGCAAAAAATTAATTAAGTAAAATACACAAATATAAGGCTGCATCATAATTATATATCTTACGCTATTTTTTTGTGACATTTTACTATTGCAAATAAAATGTAGTGATCATTGATTTGGACAATTCTTCTCTAGGGATAGACATATTCCCTCCATGTTGGCTTTGAGTTCAGGCACAGTTCTTTATGAGTTGTTTCTCAATGTCTGCTATATAGCGTTAAGGTGAGACCGTTGAAAAGCAACGAGGAAACATTTATGTCATGATTAACAAATCATTTTCTTTTGTAGAGGCAAGCCACTTCTTCAAGTCGAAAGATGTAGTTTTTTCCAAAATTTAATTTTGAAATACTTTCTAATGGACTCATTTACATAATTTATTGCCATTTTGTGGCGTTGGCGGCACATTCACTAAGATAAAGAATCCTAAATTTGATACTGCAATAAATCCTTGAGTAAATTTTACAGTCCTCTTCAGACAATCTACTTGAAACACTTCATTTTTGCAGCGAATCACTCTTTTCCGATAGTAACCAACCCAACACAATACGTCGTATTGTGATTCATCAATAAATCTCTGAATCAGTCTTGTACTGATCATTAAAGTTTGGATTTTGTCTAACTCAATCTGTGTCGCTATTCTGTTTAAGTTAGTAAAAGTTGTTTTTTTTATCTAAAAAACAACATTTTCAATAGTATACTTTTGAATTAAATTGAACAGTTGAATTAAAACCTTCTTCTTCATATTTTAAGACAATGTCTTGTTTTTCCAAATTTGTAGCCTAAGTTTGGATTCGGATATTTAACTTTTATGACAGCGTTTGGGGGGTCTACCGGGTGGTCTGTTGGTGTTGGGCTTCTCTTCCTTTACAACCTTTGCAAGTTGTGGTCAAAATTGGCTCTATTTGCTCTACAAGTAATTTAGCCATGACAAAGAGTAGACTAATAGGTCTGTAGGATGTTATTTCCTTAGCAGGTTTTCCTGGTTTAGAGATTAGTATCATTTGGGTTACCTTCCACACAAGCGGAACGCAACCCGTCCTTAAAACACCATTATATATTTGCTGTAATTAAGTCGTATCCTAGATAATTTTTCGGATTTAACGTAAGTATTAATCTTGTGACATGGTTAACTATCAAATTTTGAAGATTTAGGTCCAGTTGATACTCCATGTCGAAGTTGTTTTCAGGAAGACTTTTTTTATATGCTTGGCAAACATATTGACCTTATCCTCATTACTACTTGATCAGTGGCCATCTAGGGTACGGATAGGAGGGTTAATTAATTGAAGCCTATTTACTTTTTTTACAGCTTTTCGTAAATTACACTCATTGCTTCTGAAGCATTTAAATTTATGATGTAGTATTGAATTTCATTGTTATTATTATTAAGTATGATATTGAGTTTTAGATATTATAGCTGGATTTAGTTTAGTTTTGTCAGTGGGAGCACGAGTTCTTTGCCAGATTTTCTGTATTTTTCGTTTCTCAGTGATTATTTCTTTTAGTAACGAAGGCAGTTTTTGAAATGTGCTAGTTGATTCTTTGTTTTGGAGTTGTGTCCTATATTGCATTATGAACTGATCTTGTAAAATGTTCCACCTTGTTCAAACTACCCAGATCTCGAAAATCATTCTAATCTTGGAGCTAGCTCTTTTTGTATTGTCAGTGCTGAGTGTGAAAGTCAACAAGATTAGGGATCTTGTAAAATGTTCCACCGTGTTCAAACTACCCAGATCTCGAGAATCATTCTAATCTTGGAGCTGGCTCTTTTTGTATTGTCAGTGCTGAGTGTGAAAGTCAACAAGATTAGGAATGTTGTTCCTGTCTGTTGGCCAATAGGTTTTTTCACCTGTTAATATGAAACTAAAGCCTTTATTTTCTGTTGCTTTTAGCAGTTGCCTACCTTTAGGTATTATGAATCTGGAGCTTATGTTTGCTTGGCATTATAATTACTATCCGCAATAAATCTGTTGCTAAGTGTAGTAAATAACTGCTCATATTGTTCACTAGTTATTGTGAAACTGTATTGGTGGGCTCTATATTCTAGAAACTGTCAGTGAGCCATGCCAGTTCTCTATGCTTATTTTGGTTGTTTGTAAGTAATCTTTTGAATATTTGTTTAGTTCATAATCTTTGATTGCCTTCTTAATAATAACTACGGTTCCTTCGTGTACCGTGCCATCTGGACGATTTGTGCAGTAGCTTCTTGTGTAGTTTGAATGATTAAAAGAGCTGCAATTTGTAATGAGTTTCAGAGGCATTATACCTATCTTATGGTTTATAATGAAGGCTTTAACTTCTGTTGCATACTGTGCTAGCCCGTTGGGATTCCATATAATCACTTTAAGGAATATTTCGTTAATTCAATTGATTATTGCCATTAAATGTTTTCTGTTTCATATTTTCATTTTTTTAAATCAAAAATCAACGACATCTTCAAAAACAGTACAGTATCATGATGAAATGAAATGTAAACTGTAATGTCAGTGCTGCCAGATTTTTTTTTATCGAGTTTAATGCGTCGACAACTAATGGTCATTGGCATAGTACAGTGAATTTTTACAGTCAGGTACCTAGTGTAGTGTGTGTGCAGGTGTAGAGTAATTGTCTTGATACTTAGCAAAGTCGACGTCATTGCATTTGCTAAGAGACGCTAATTGTATCCTAACGTCTGCGGTCCCTCCGGTGAGTACCGATCTCACAAGGATAGAAATTATTTTCATTTATTAATTTTTAATAAACGAAAATTTCTCCACTCATGTGAGATTCTAACTCACGACCTTTACGTTCAAAGGTAGGCACTCTTACCACCGAACCACAGAGGGGGTTGCTGCCAGATTTGAAATATGTCAACATAGGATATAACCTGAATTGAAGACTGCTCTCATTTACCCATAGACATATAATACAAATAGATTGAAGGCAGCAATACATGCCCGGTCTCTGTCTATTTAGGTCACGTGGTCGATAAACAGTGATGCAGTGACTGCTTTGAGTCAGTTTCCTCTGTCGCACTGGGGAAACGGGCATGTAATGCCGCGCTCAGTCTATTTGTATTATATGTCTGTGAATTTAACTGTATATACCATTTTAATGATAAGAAAAATAAGGTAAAATAATATTGTCCTATATCAGCCGAAGAGTTTATGGTGTATTACTTACTATCAGGGAGACCATCTTCATGACATCCAAGAAAACTTAGATTAGTAATACAACTGGTACTCAAAAAGTCGTTGAGGTTTCCAAGAGTAACTCTGGTTCCATTTATATATCCTGATTTTAGTTTTTTCATTGTAGTTATCATGGCTAGTGGTAATTTTCCATCCTCTAAAAGTATATTACGTATATATCTATTACAATAGTCAAAATGGTGTAATAAAAAGATTAATACTTGGAATTAAAAAAAAACTGATAGGTATTAGTTATAACATACATGTTCACAATGTTATGAAGAGTTAGTTTAAATACATACGAAGTTACCCTCTCTCTATGCATCTAAGGCATAAAATGTATGCCTTTTTTCTATACCAATACAGATATATTCCATACATTAACGACATGGCAGTTAAATGGACCAAAGTTAATATTACAGAATATGGTATAAAACATGGAATGGAATGTCCCGTGAAGTTGTTTGTCTCCCATCGGATGCGTCCCCAGGTGGTCGATAAGAGAACGCCCTAACCGGTCCTAGGAACGTCGAGTAGGTGGGAAATAAAATACACCCATGAACCAAAACAAATTAGGTATAGAAACCCTAACAGAAGAGTCCCTGGCCATAGACCTCTAGGTTGAAGGTTGAGTTAGAGGTAAACAGGAAATACGATAGGCGGGAACCGGCACTCTTGACAAGACTAATTCCATATATTATAGTGGCAATGAAATTCAACACATGAATGGAATTTATTGTAAACCAAAGAACAAAAAGCCTTATTATTGACTTTAAAGCTTATAGTCAAAGAATGTGCTATTTATGTTTAAAAGAGAAATTCTCTAATTACAGTTTGATCGAGGAACACACCCGACTGATGACAAATCAGATGATATAAAAGATAAGTTCTTCAAGGACCTAGAACAAAAAAAACATAAGATGATCCAGAAATGACACTAAGATAGTGCTAGGTGACATGAATGCAAGAATAGGATGAGAGTTTTCATCCTCACTATAGGAAACTTCAATATGGAAAACTTCAAGGAAATATGAGAAAAATTTGACTGGAGAAAAATACTGGAGGAATCTAGGTCATACACAGGGATGTAAAACCAGAATGATAATGATGATGATATGGATAGGTATTCTATCATATCTAACTTGAAGCCATAAATTCCTTGGCAATACTCAAAAAATGAGAAGATTTAAGCGTATTAAAGCCCTCGGATTTTACTAAAATTAGTATATAATATGTGAAGTATAGAAAGATGTTAGTGCTATAATTAATAACTATTATTGCTATAAAAAATAAAAATAAATGTAGTTAGTTATTAAAACAATGTCTAATTACCATATTACTATTTTTACTGGCCTTAGTTGTGTGTTGTAATGTATATTGTGATGTTACCTGTTTAAAATTGTTTCCGAAAACACCATTTGTTTACAGTGTACTATTATGATCAGTGTTAAACAGATATAAACATGTATTATCCCAATAATTTATTGTGATGATACATTAATGCAACTATACGTTGCTTGTCTCATTTTTTCTTTTGTACTTTATTAATATACAAGTAAATAATAACCATAAACTATAGATTTTACGGGCAAGTTAGGTACACCGTTACGTGCTAAATTTATAATAAGTAACCGTATGGAAAATAAAATGTGGAAAATGCAAAAATATTCCTAGAGTCTTGACAATTTTTTTTTCAAAGCCTAAATACAACATATAGAAAATGACGAACGATGCTTGTCGAATCGTCTATGAATTTTATTTCCAAAAGGAAACCAACTTCTAAATGAACGAATAACGAAAATTTTAAACAATACCAGTGTTGCAATACTCAAAGAACAATTCCCAATAATACGCTGCCCTTTAAGTGAAATAGAACAAGCAGTAAACATAGACCTGAGCCTTAGTATCTAGATATATAACCTCTTAAGGAACAACATGGGCAAAAAAGCAAAATATTGTATTTGCGCGCTGAAACTCATTACGAATTAAAATCACCAAAACAAGAGATTCCACGACTTCAAAAATAACCAACGCAAAAAGAACTCACCGTCAACGAACTGATAAAGTCAGGAAGAACAATATTAAACAAAGATTTCAACTACGCTATAGTCCCCACGGAAATATAAGTAAATACATATCTGCATGTTTGGAATCTGCCTTACACGGTGTCAATGGAATGAGAGGATGTTGCGTGCAAAAATCCAAAGGGTGATGGAGAGGTCTGGGAGAAATGCGATGATACGGGGTGTTCCGGGCGGTGGACGGGAGGTGGAACCGAAACAAGTGGGCGGTTCTGCTCCCCTTCGACGTCCGGAACGCTTTTAATACATTGCAGGGATCCTCTGTGCTGGATCCTCTATTATTTGTCTGAGAAGAAAATCATAGCTGAGAGAGGCGTGATTGTAGACGTTAGGCTGGAGTGCCCCAGGGTCCATCCTTTGTCCGGTACTGTGGAACCAGGAACACGAAGAGGTCATGGAGAGGGGGGAGGGGGGAGGGGGGAGGGGGAGGGGGGAGGGAGGGTGGCCCCTTCGCATTCGCGGATGATCTCGCTATGCTGCTAGGAGCGCGGGACAGAAAGAAACTCTTGTTCCGGATATGGTATGGTATTCAGGACTGGATGAACGACCATGGTTTGTGTCGCGGCGGAGAAAACAGAGGCGGTATTTCTTAAGGCCTAAGAAAGAGAGATATAGTTGTGTTTGTGCGGATCACCCATAAAAAGTATATTAAGTCTTCAAGTGTATCAAGAATGGTGATCTTAGATATGTATGGGAGTTGGAGGAGCATGAGGCGCTGGGGATGGTAATGCCCAATATCCTATATAGCCTATATTATTCTCTACGTGGCACAAGTATGGAGTGCAACTGTGGAAACACAGCGCTGCGGGTAGCAAGTGCTTAGAGGATTGTGTCTGCTGCTGTCCTGTTGGTGATCACCTGCTGTGTTCCCTTAAATGTGTTGCTGAAAGAGAGAGAAACGGATATTTCAGCAGAGAAATAGGGAGACACAAGGGGAGAACGTTAGAACCTAGGAAAGGGCCACATCCATTCGGATGTGGCAGGATGAGTGGGATGTAACGGGGAATGTGGCACAGTGAACAAAGTCACTGATACCGAATCTGTGCGGCTGGCTGTACTATGAGCACAGGCGCTTAGACTACTATCTGACGCAAGTAATCACAGTAGACGGGAGCTTCCGTAGCTACTTGCACAAGTTCAAAAAGGCCAAATCGGACAATTGTCTATATTGTGGGACTTCGGACACTGCGTCACATATCTTTTTAAAGTGTGTAAGATGGTAGAAGAAGGGAATAAGCTAGAAGAGAGAGTGTTTAAGTAAGTGAGAGAAGATGGTGATGGATGAGCGATGGTGAAACAAAATCCGCAACTATGTGAGAAAGATACTGTCGAAAAGAGAAGGAAGAGCGAGAGCTAGATGCAGTTCTAGCAGCTATCGGCACGCGAAGACAGAACTGGGCACGTAGAGGTATGATGGAGAGGTTTACAACACAGGGTAAAGGCAAATATGAATAAGAGAGTGAGAGAGGCGGAAATGGCGATAGGCACGGAAGAGCGACAGTACAAGTGGAATGAGGTGAGTGTCCACTGAGGTGTAGACGGACAGCGACAAATAGCACACGGGACAGCTTATCGCTGCTCTGTTTTGCACTTGGAGATAGGGCCGCGATGAGGCCGAAATAACGACCGTCGGATGGTATATATGTACGCGTAGGAAGGAAAGCGAATGACAAGCTGATGTGTGATAACAAGCGACAATTCCATACTTTATGAAATGCTTCAAAATAATACACAATTATTAAAACTAACTAAAATAAAATAAAAAGTAAGGACATCGGACAAGGAGAAAACTCCTAGAACTTAGAAAAAGGGAACGTTAAATTGGAGCCGATAAAACACGATATTGCAAACGGATAAAAACATAATAAATTTAAAAATACGGAAACTAACCAAAAGCAATTTTACGAAACCATACCGCTAAAGGCAGTTGTAAAAGATCTATATATTTATATTACCTTTAATCATTTGTTATTGTCAACATAGTAGACAATTAACAGGTTTTGAAAATCTTTTTAACACTGATCATATCTATGTGTACCAAGCACCACGACATCAATATAATTATAAGTTTTCAATGTTATAGAAATAAAAATTTTACCTAAATGATTTTTGGTTATCACTACTGATATCGTAGGTCTTCCCAGCATGTTCCTCCAGCTCATTGTTAAGAATGCCAAGTGTGCCCTTACTTTATCAGCCAAGAGAGCAATGTCATAACTGGTATAGTACTCTTCCGGATCAAAATTCTAACAGCACCATGAAAAAATGAAAAACACATGCAACACACGACAGACAGCTCCTTCGACAGTAACCAATATCGATAAATCAAAGAAAAATAAACGTACTCTATAACTTAGTTTATCTTTTGATATACATGACAAAACTGTATTGCATAAGTTCTCAGTAATTATTGACATGATTCAAATGCTTTTTGAAAAACGTTTTATAATGATTTTACCATATATTTATAACTAGTTATACTGTTTTTTCTTTTGATAAAACTGGATATCTGGTGGTGTGTTAACTAATTTATACACCAGCTTTCTGTGAAGCATTAATTCTATAGTAGAATATAATATGTATCCACAAAACATCCTAGTGGTTTAATTTTAATTGGATTGAAAGACAAGAGGCTAGTTTAATTAAATCGTTTATCCACGGGAAGTAACTACCGGGATGGTAAGAAACACCATAAATTAAATCCTGAAATAAAAAAGAAACAACATGATAACATGGAAAATAACAGAAACCTGCAGAAGTTATTCTTATATACAGAAACGAGTTTGGAAACTTAATAGAAAAGGCTGCCTGAACTCCAAGAAACCGAACAAAATATTGTTTTAAATGTTTTAAATGGCATAAATGAAATAATAGTGGACGTATAAGAGAAATTTTATTCTAAAAGACACAAGCAAAAGAAAAATACTTTATATATCAGGCATATGTATGGGCGGGGAAAATAAAACATCGCAGAACACTAACGAAATATATAAGGCAAAAAAATTATCCGAGGAAACACAAATATGTATAGAGAGATAACAAGAAATATAAGAAGGCAGCTCGCGAAGGAAAAAAAATATTACAACTTAAAGACAGAAAGGGAATCAAACAAATAGGTAGTACAAATTGTAGAAGAATTCTACACAGCATTATACACAAAATCCACTGTCCTGACATAAATAACCACAACCAAGGAAAAGTACAAAATGAATGTGATATAAATTCAGAGATTACAAAAGCAGGAATATATACTACTACTCAACAAAGTTATTTGATACCCTTTTAATAATGGTTGCAGGGTAATAAGGTTTTTGTCGTAGCACTCAAAAAGCTAGGGTACTGACAGGTTTTTTGAAGTATAATGCTTATACAAACAAATAACCATTTTCTGCGGAAGATTTATTGATAATTTTTATTTATAAACAAATTAGTGTAAACAATGTACTTTTTGGAATTTTTATTTTATCATTGAAAAACATAAGGTTTTGAAGATTTATTGGCGTAACAATCTGTTAGAAAATGCAACAAGCTTCAAAATGACGATTTGCAAAAAATTATATACGTATTGGTTTTTAAAAAAAATGCAAAAAACAGCAAATTTTTAGAAAAAATTAATTAATTTATACCTATTGCAAACATTTTTTTTTTGAAATTTTATTTATATATAAAATATTATTTAAGCTTATAATAATGTTTTTTAATATTAATAATAATATTAAGTAATTAAATATTGAGCCTTGTATAAAAAAAGTACGAGATAAATAACTCGTTTTTATATGAAAGTGCAATTTTCTTGCAAATGCTTGGTTTTTTTATAAGATAATACAAATTGTATGAAGAGTAGCTAAGCGTTGGGTAGTCAGTGGCGAATCTACGAGGAGGGAAAAAGGATCTTCTGAATTTGCCAATACTTTGAGTGAACATACAACCAAGAGAGGATGGAATGTTGTCAGACCATTAACAATATTGAAATATAACCAGTACGTGACAAAAAACGATGTAGAATATGTTGTATGGATAAAATTTGAAAAAACACAATTTACGAGTGTGCTGATAGTGACAAAAAAAAACCTGGACTATGCATAGGATATTGATTTCGCAAATATCATTCAACCAACAGATAGATTGCATTCAGTATATTAGTTTAAATAAAATTTTTATTTTCTAAAGACCTTTTAATTGTTAGCTGATGTCTCACTAACAATTTCTAATTTGAAAATATAAATATCTTGAAAACTTTCACAAATGTTAGGGATAATAAATTGAAATCCTGTAACAAAAGGCTATAGCTTTAGGTAAAGAAATAATAAATAAGGCTTACTCACAATCAATTTAATTTAACTATCAGACGACCGGTTGAGTCTACTCAACCGGTCAATCATTCAAATTACAGCTATAGCTATAATTTGAATAAGCTGGTTTTGCCGATTTGACTTTCTTATTACGAATTAGCATATTAGGCAGGTATTTTACATAGTCACAGTTCTCTTAAAGATTTTTGTTTCATTGAAAGCTGAACCTGATATTAATTTCTTGAAAATATTTACGTATGCTAAGGGTAATAAATTGAAATCCTTCAATAGAAGACTATAAGTAGGTACCTATAATTTGAATAAGCTGGTTTTGCCCATACTGACTTTCTAATTACCTACTAATTTGCATAACAGTCAGATATTGTACCTGGTCACAATGCTCTTTAATATTAGGATTTTCATTTCGCTGGTTGAAACTCCATTAAATATTAATTTCTTGGAAATTTTTATAAGGCTGAGAGTAGATCTCGGTCTGTAGATCTTTGTTATTTGATGTTTGTCTGTTGTGTTGTGTTTAGGCTGCCGAACAGAAAGCATTTTATTGTAATATCCTCGCCCACGAGTGAAAGTGCAAGGTTAATATTTTTTAAAAGTAAATTTAATTTATATTTTAAAATGACTGCTATTGTTGCGTATACAAGGGAGGACAAAGAAATTTTAATAGAAATTTTAAAGAAGTAACCGATAATTGAGAATAAAAATACGGATGCTACCACCATAAAGAAAAAATCGGAAGCTTGGAATGCAGTTATGAATGATTATAATGCTAATGAATCATAATGAGTAATTTATCCTACCTGCAAATTTCCAGTAGCATAAAATCTCAAGGCAACTAAAAGACATAAAATGGGTGGAAACGGTAATCCACGTCGACTAATTTTCACCATTTCATCATATATTACTGGCAACATTATTTCAATAACTGTTTGTTTTCGAAATCTATACCTTTTTCTAAATTCATTATCATAAAATTGTAATGGATTTTGCATGTCCCTTATATATCTTCTGGGTACTTGTAATATATCGTTTTGTTTATTTATTTCACAGTTAACTACATAATATTGATGTCAATCGTCCATTGCAAGCGTATTTCAAATTGACGGGTGAATCGCCAGAGCATGCATATACCTTCGAAAGTATACGTCGAAATATATAAAGTTTATTTCTGGCGAACCTTCGAAAATCTCTAAACAGGGGATGCGTCATTCGAGTGCGAGATCACTGTGAACGCGACTGGCGCGTATCCAGCGACAAGCCAGCGACTGTTCGGAGAAAGATGCTTTACGCTTGCGTCAACCAGGCTGTAGGTCGACTATGAAACATAGATATGGTGGTGAACAGCCAGCGACGCGCTGGAGACGGACTATGAATAAGAGTGTTACTCTTTCATTTGGCAATAGAAAAATTGTTCTAACTGTATTTTTTTAATGATTTATGTTATTGAATAAACAGCTTTCTGGGATAAACAAATAGATCAAGATTTAAACAATTGAACGAATCACTTGGAAATTTTTATCACATATTAACCATTCCAAGACTCAACTTTGAGGTAAATTTTAAAGCCTTAGAACAATTTTCGCAACAGTTATAAATATTAATTTTTAATTCCTCTCTTCTTTTGTATTTATCTAAACATCAAATACGTATATAAATTTTTGTAAATCGTCATTTTGAAGCTTTTTGCATGTTCTAAAAGATGGTTATGCCAATAAACCTTCAAAACTATATGTTTTTCAATGATAAAATAAAAACGCCAAAAAGTACATTTTTTCACACTTATTTGTTTATAAATAAAAATTATCAATAAATCTCACGCAGGAAATGGTTAGAAATGTTTGTATAACTATTATACATCACAAAAACCTTTCAGTACCCTGGCTTTTTGAATGTCACCAACAGGGTACATTTATGCCTTATTACCCTGGTCTATATTGAAATTTAAATATTATCAAGAGAACGTTCTCTAACTTCGTCCCTGTTTACCTTTGAAGAGTTACAAACTTCGAGGGTTTCCATCGTTTACGATAAACGTTTATGGTTTGGCTTTTAACATTATAAATTCTTCACAAAAACTCTCATAGTTCTACGGCGAAACAGTGAAATAATTGTTAAGGAAAAAAATGTATTTATTTGCAAATACGATAAGAAAACAAACCACAAGGATGTTTGTTAATATATGGTAAACTGAAATGTTGTTTTCATTTTTTATTTTAAATCTTAAGGATGTGATGAAGAGCTTTTACCTGTTAAACAACACTTTAAAATTATATATTTAATAAAGTTATATTTTGACATGATGCAAAAGATTCACTAAAACACCACAATAGTAAGAGGATGAACTGTGTAATGCGAAAGTCACTCTAGGTTAATAAACTTTCAGAAACTTATTTGTTTCATATGTATAGTATATGTACCTAAGTGTATGTGTCGACAGAGCACCACTGTTAAAGGTCTTCCCAGCATGTTCTGCCAACTTGATTTTAAAAAGTTTATTTCGCTCTTGCACATGTCTATCATCAACTCATAGTCATTCGCTGTGTAATTTTGGGTAATGTCCATAAACTAAAGAATTATAGACCAATTAAAAAATAAAGAGAGACTGAGTTATTGTCATGGTTTCTTTATAGTACATTATATTGTTCTTTATAGTACTCAACATTATTGCCTAAATTAAGTTTTTTTTTGTTATTTGCTGCGTTTCCAAACTTTATAAAATAACAACAACGCGATGGTGAGGTTAAACAACGTCTATTGCTCGTGGTGTAAAATATGAAAAGGTAGTAGACAGGCATTGACAGGTTCGGATACAAGGTTTGATACAATAAATGGTGACGAACCTACGTTTTGCGGATTACACAGTATTAATCACCCAAAATAAAGACGAGCTTATTAGACAAATATAATTAAAACTATTATTTATAAGATCGGTTTCAAAATGTTTAATTTGTTAACCATTTGTTAGATCACTAGCACAGATCGATTTTAATGATCCCCTCTTTCCAAAAGTGGTAGTACCTACTGCCTGGTCAATTTGAGCAGTCTGTTTTTGTCCATTTTTTGTACATGTCCATAATATCTAAGCCGTTGTTAGTAGCCAACAAAGAGTGCTATTAAAGATATGCCTCTACAATTGCAATAGTTGTTGAATTGTTTATTCCTATACAACAAATATTCAACAAATAACATGACACAAGAAAACAGTTTCAGAAAAATATTTGATTTGTTATTTACTTCTCAACGAAATATTTAAAATGTACCAAAACAGATCTAATTAATATAAGCTCGTTTTGCTATGAAGTGTCTAGTTAAGTTTATTGCATGCACAATATTGCACTTTTAAAGAACCATAACAATAATATACAGTACTAAAAAAACGAATATCAATCGAACTAATATCAATTTAGTACGTGCTAAAATAAATCAGTTCTGTAAGGTCATTTATATGAAATTTGATAAAAATAAAAGTTAACGGTTAGGCTTCAGATAATTATGCATTTACATACTTGCATATTTTCTATAACTATTTTATACATTGCCAACTGGTTTTTCTCAATTTTAAATAACTTCACCTCTTTGGATTTACCACTACTGTGCCATAGTTTAAATTATTTACAATAATCAAATTTCTAGAAAATACAATGCGATTAGAATACAGGCACTTAGAAATAATATAAGTGCGAATGAATTTCCCGTATGAGCGTCAGAGTTGGTTCAAGATTCCTAGAAAAAATCGATCAGTGAGTGCTGTATTAACCTAATTTGTGAAAAATTGTCCAGATTTTAGTAAGGATGGAAATCTACTGCAAATATCGTGATATTCCTGTAAGTGCCTAGAGGAAGTTACATATAACACAAGATTTAGTAACGGAAAAGCATAAACATTTACAGGATACAAATCTGTGAATAACAAGTTTTAATAACTTTCATCTTTCATCAGAACCAAAGCGTTCAAAATTTAATGAGAAAAATATTTGTAAAAAGCTGTTGGTGCTGAAAGTCCGCTGAAGTTTTTTAGAAAAGAATTCAATGTCATTCATACCAACTCAGTCAAAAATAAGAAAACAGAAGTATCTGGAACAAAAATGTTGCAATTTTATCCGAGAGAATCATGCCCATTCAATTGGATTTATTCTCAGCAAAAACCAACATACTCCAAATATATGGACCCATAGCAGACAAATCAGACGAAGTAATAGAGACTTTTTATTACGATTTAAGGAAAGTCCTAAGTATGTTAAAAACCAATGAAGTAACGCTAGTTATGGGTGACTTTAATGCCAAAATCGGTAAGGGTAGTTATGGTGAAATAGTAGGTTCATCATCATTACCCAGGGGACTGGGTAAGCTAAATGAGAGAGGAGAACGCCTACTCACATTTGCCACGGAAGAAGAGTTGGTAATCACCAATACACTCTTCAAATTACCATACAGAAAGTTGTACACGTGACACGCCAGAAAATCTCATAAGAAACCAGATTTACTATATTTTAATAAATAAAAGATTTAAAAACTCAATAACATCAATGAAAACCTACCTTGGTGCAGATATTAAGTCAGACCATAACCCACTTGTCGCTAAGTTTAGTTTGAAATTTAAAAAAAATCCACAAACCTAATCCTATAAGATACGATATCAAAAAACTAAGAGATGATGACATAAAGCAAGAAGTACGGGAATATCTGAAGAACAACATATCTAAGTCAGAAGTATTTAGTGATGTTGACACAGTTGACACAGAATTAAACCACATAGAAAACATTCTTCTTCTTCTTCTAGTTCCATGACCGCTATCGATCGTTGGATATCATGTTGGCTACCATATTCGCTATCGTGACTTTATTGACAGCAGCTCTAAATAACGATGTAGTTGATTTTCCATACCATTGCCTTAGATTTTTCAGCCATGATGTTCTTCTTCTACCAGGACCACGATTACCTTGGATCTTTCCCTGAATGATCAGATGTAAAAGATCATATTTTTCAGGGTGTCTCATAATATGACCGAAGTATTCCAGCTTGCGTCTCTTTATTATATTGACCAGTTGTGTTGTTTGGTTCAGCCGTCTAAGGACCTCCTCATTTCTAACTCTGTCGACCCAGCTTATTTTCAGTAGTCGTCTGTATACCCACATCTCAAAGGCTGTCAAGCGTTTAAGCATAGCCTCAGTTAGGGTCCACGCTTCTACTCCATACAGCAGGACAGGAAAGATGTAGCAAGATATCATACGAACTCTAAGGTCAATGGTAAGATCATGACTGCAAAGTACGTTTCTCATTTTTACAAAGGCAGCTCGGGCTTGTTCTATTCGGCTTTTAATTTCTGCGGTTTTATCCCAGCTCTCATTGATATTACTGCCGAGATACACGAGTTTCTCTACTCTGTCCAGTGTGGCATCTCCGACTTTTATACCGTCATCATGTATATAATTTTGTTTGCTAACTATCATATATTTAGTTTTCTTAACGTTGAGTTTTAATCCATACTGATCACAAGTCTGTTTTATTTTGTTCATTAGATTTTGAAGGTCTTCTCCGCAATTGGCAAGGACTAAGGTATCGTCGGCATATCTAATATTGTTGACGGTTACTCCATTCACAATAATACCTTCGGTTGTCTCCATTAAGGCTTCCTTAAATATTTCCTCCGAATATAAGTTAAAAAGTAAAGGCGACAATATACAGCCTTGTCTCACTCCTCTTTTTATATTTATTTCATCCGACAGTTCTTGTTCAACCTTTATTCTTGCCACTTGATGCCAGTATAGATTTGTAATTATTCGTAGATCTTTATCGTCCAATCCAGCTGTGATTGAAAATCACATAGCTCCAATAGAAAACATTGGGAAGGAAATATTAGACCAATACCTGCGACTGAAAAAGACAGAAAAGAAAAAATCATGGATGACCGACGGTATAGTACAGATGATGGACAGAAGAAGAGAATCCAAGCGGAAAGACTACGTTGCATATCAATTTCTAGATAAAGAGATAAAAAAAGCTGTCAGAGAGTTAAACATAGAAATCTGGAAGAACAGTGTGAAGAAATCGAGATATTGGAACGTAAACACGATTCCTTTAACATCCACAAAAAGATCAAGGAAGCAGCTGGCATCTATAAATCAAAAAGGCCGGGACACTTAGCCCAAGGAAATCCAATAGTTGATATTAAAGAAACAAAAACAACATGGATGAACTATTTGACAACAACATTTGAAGACGATAGGAATGTCACTATCACTCAAAATAAAAACGTCGATACCGGACCACCTAGAAAAGCCGCAGGACCAGACGAGTTCTACTCAGAATTTTTGAAAATTATGGATAAAGACGAAGTAAAATGACTTACCTTGATCTTCAACAATATATACCAAAGTGGAAAAATACCCCAACAGTGGCCAAGATTAACAATCCCTAAAAAACCCAATGCCAAAAAATGTGAAGATTATCGAATAATAAGCCTTATGAGCCATCTCCTGAAAACTTTTTAAAAATTATACATAAAAGAATATATAAAAAGTGTGAAAAACAGATGACAAACACACAATTCGGCTTCATCTTACCTTCTTACTTTAAAACATTAGAGAAAGTAAATAATTTAAGTACTATCATATTTGCGTTTTCTTTTCTTATATCTATCATAGTAGCAGCATTCTTTTCAATGACTATCTCAGTCTATTATAGCCAAATGACATTTTGTATGAAAATGTGTTAGTAGAGATCACAGATGCTGCATTGTATATGTATAAACTATGAGTGGTGTAGGTATTTTACTACTTTATTGAATGATACATGTTACTTGTTGATACTTTGGCTCATGGTCTCCATCGTGTTGCGGAATAGATTATAGTTTTATATCCACAAGTGAATGCATTAATTTCATCAATGAAAAATTTATTGTAACAGTCTCCGGCCAATGTAGAAACATTTAGGGTAATTGCGGAAAAGGTTCTATTAGCTCCAGCTTCAGTTGATACTAGATGAGATATTTAGATAATTGCTGCTCTTTAAGAATTTAACTTGGAAGACGTTCACTGCATACAAGAAGCCCGAAACATATTTTGCCATAATAATTTGCATAAAGATTTGAATTATACACTCACCGGCAAAATTAACGGAACATCTCAGATGTCTCGAATTTCCTAAACTTCTTGTCCGATTTGAGTGATTTTTTTAGTATGTTATAGTTATATTATTTAAGAGTATCGATGTAAATCAATCGCAAATATAAAGCAAATCGAGTAAAATCAAAATAAAACCAAATTCATGGCGACTAACACAAACACAAGAGCTGGAAATGTTGACACAAATTTAATCATCAATGACCAAAACTTCGAAGCAGTCAATGAGTTCATATATCTAGGGACATCGGTTAATCCCAATAATAATACATCTGAGGAAATAAAAAGGCGAATAATAATTGCAAACAGGTGTTATTATGGTCTATCAAAGTACTTAGCTAACAAACGTCTGTCTCAAAAAACTCGTATAAGGCTGTATAGAACACTGATAGTCCCCGTTCCCACATATGCATCAGAGGCATGGACGCTAACGAAAACAGATG